TTTGCACCTTAATTGCAGCTCAGTGATAGCGCCCCAAGATACTTTGCTGGAAACTATATGCTTCTGCGTTGTGACCCCCTCCACTGATGATCAAGCCGTGCAAAGGCAGAGAGCCGTGCTGACAGGGTGAACAGAGCCCTCCTTACCCATCATCATCAAGGTGTGCGCATTGCTAGCAGTGCAGCCCTTCTGGGAGTTTGTGTGAGTGCTGTTAATAGAAAGGAAAGAAACAGGAGGGAAAAAAAGTTAGAATATGTTAAAGTTAGAAGAAAGTGATGCTAAATGGTGGAATTGTTATAAACTGTAATTGTGTGCCATTCATGAAGGTATCTCTTGTAGTTTTGTATCAGAATATTAAGTAGCACTCTTCTTGGTGGCTTATATTGAAGTGAAACTCTTAGGAGGAGGAAGGCAGGGTGGGGAAGTGACCATGAACTATATGTAGTTATTAGTATCCTGACAGGCCTCAGAGAGACTAAGCATCCAGTGCAGTCAGATTTTGTGCAAAGAACTTCCCCCTCTGTGTACTTGATCTGAACATTTGGTTGAAAGTGAACAAGCTGCTGTTAGGGAGATTTCGGTGTGAACACATAGCATGCTAGATGCCCTGGAGTTCTAATCCTACAAGGAGATGCTGTTTGTCTACCAGCTGCAAAAGCTTGCGTTGAGCAACCTGATCTAGTGGAGAGTGTCTCTGCCCATAGCAAGGGGGGTTGGAGCTAGATGATCTTTGAAGTCCCTTCCAACCCAGACCATTCTATGATTCTATAAAAGAAACTTGGCATCTCAAAACACTCATTTTGGGTCCAATTTTTAGCCCTTCAGTTTCTCCTCTCCCCAGTAGTTCCAGTGTTCATTTTCCTATTCCTGCTTCACTGTTAGGCCTCTAAATGCTTTGTGGACTCCTAGGAAGTATAATTTCCTTACATAAGGTACTTCCCCGAGAACTAGTATGTTCTGTTAGGCTTGTGAAAGCTATGTGCTTCCTTCACCTAGTTCATTATAAGTATCAGTTCGGGCAAATCAGAGAATGATGAGTGTATTCTTCTTTTAGCCAGATATGCTATGCAGTGGTGATGTTTTAGGCCTAATATATTTCAGGCTTCTATATTTTAGTTTGACACACTAGTCAGTCTTGAATGCCACTGCTTTAAACAGAGTTGTTTCTGGGGAAAATTACTAAAAACTGACCAGTGGCACTGTCAAATTTTTTGTTGTTTATCTTCTAAGAAAAAAGTACTTCTAGTTATTACATAGCATAGCTTGGTTTTTTCAGCATTACTAGTGTGGCAAGGCTGAGGGAATTGGGCAGAGTGTAATAGAAAAATACCTTTGACATCTTTTATGTTAGTGTTGCTGCAGTAGAGCAAACACAGTTTTAAATCAACTTCGCTTGCTTTTCTCTACCCTGTATGGATTTAAGTTTGTCTTCTACCTGAAACTAGATGCTAAAAGAAAATCTGGAGCCTTTTTTTAAGAAGACAGGAAGGATTTAGTTTAACTGCTATTTTGTTTGCATGTCTATTATGCTCCACAATTGGTTTTGTATTATGGAAGCCCCAGCCTGCTCTGGGGCAGTGGACCAGGATTCTAGCACGTTAGAAGCTGTAAAAGCACAAAGTGGAAAATACAATCTCTGTGTCTAAATATTTTAGCCTAATAAAAGGGGGGGGAAGTAGACAAATTCAGAAAAGAAACTTAACCTCCCTCCTCCCCATTAGAGAAAATAATGACAGATTTAATACCTCTGTATTACTAAGTCAGTTTCTGTGAGTTGGTTCCAAGTATCCCTCAAGTGCTGGAGCAGAGAGTACTTCCTGCATACAGTCTACCCTTTATTACAAGACTTTTTTGTTTGTTTTAATTTTCTTTCTAAGATTAATTTTACCTGCTGCAAAGTTACTGCTAAAATCAAGAGCAGATGCTGCTGTCTGAAGATGATAATGTGTTTGGGTTGCCTTAGGTAGGTGCCATAGGTCACCCTGTAGATGCACCTTGTCTCATCTCAGTATTTGGGTGGTAAAACCCACTGAGATGAAACAGATTGATCAGTGTTGCATTGCAGAAATCTTACTAATCATGGCTGTTACCATGATACAAATTTTGTGTAGCTAACATTGTGACTGGCTGCAATTTTTTTTTTCCCCAGTACTTTTCAGCAGTTTATCATTTTTATCTGTGTTTCACCCTGCCTGAAACATCTTGCACTTTTCTTGGGTTTTGGCAGTAGTTTGCAAAGGAAGTTGCATTCAGGAGTTGTTTGGGAGAAGCTTTGTTTCTGTGACCTTTATTTAGAAAAAAAAAAATATTAATGGCGTACAAGAAAGCCCCATGACTTGTCTATGGATATTTAAAGGCATAAGATCCTAATTCAGGTCAGATTTAAATTTTCAGGCATTTCTGTGGAATGCAGCTTGTACTTCTTGCTTTCTGTGAAGTTAAGGATCCATGTAAGTGTTTCTAAGTCCTGATGCTAAAACACTGCTTAAGCGGTAAGTTTAAGGGCTTTTACCGTAATGTATATAGGCTAGATCTGTAGAAGGAAAACTCTTAGAATATCTAAATAAGAAAATACGAAATAGATTGCATGGTTACTAATGGTATCTGACTCCAGTCTGCAAGACACTTAGGTGACTGCAGCTGAGGTCTAACATGCTGCACTTGCCATGTTGCATCCCTTTGTCCTGATGGAGTTTTCAAGAAATGTATGGGGGAGCTCCTCAGTTGTGGAGTTCCCATTTTCTTGTCTCTGCATTCAGCAATGATCTGACTGGATGTAGCCAAGGGAAGAGTGGATTATTTTTTTTCCAAGTCTGACAAACTCTCTAGAAAACATGTTGGTGTTTGAGTAATTCAGCACTAACTAGCAAAGGGTGTGTGAGTGGACGTAGGGTGTTTGTTCCAGACGCACATGTTGCTCTCAGAACTAGAATGAAGAAGTTCACACTTCCTGTTTAAAAAATAAATAATTTTTTTTTAAAGATGCAAAACTTTCCTTCTCTTTGAACTGTTCAGTTTGTTTTTTCTTGACTTGGGGAGTTTGTAGTAAAGATGGGGAAGTGATGAGAGCAGATAGCTGACCCCTTACCTCTCCTTCTGTCTGTTCTCCAGACCAGTAGCTTAGCCTGTCAGCAGCCTGCATTATTAACATACTTGGAAATGGCATTACTAGTGGAAGAATTTGTATAGAGTAGAACAGCTGTGAATTTACACTGCTATCCTACAAATTTACTGTAAACCTCAACTGAAATATGTGTGTTGATACAAATAATTGTGTCAACAATTAGAGGGATCTACATGTGCAGACAAAAAGCTAAATTATAACCCCATGGACTTTGCAATCTATTATGTGACCATCCTGTCCTTATGTGTTGTGTTTGGCTGCCCAACTGTAGCTAGAAAGTTGAAATGCTTAGTCTCGGGTATTGTACAAACTGTACATTTGTCAGTATAGTGCAGTATAACTTGCTTAAAGGTTCTTATGGTTAGCTGTAGAAATTTGAAAAACAAAAAGTTAATCACTTTTTTTATCAATACTTGGATGAAATATTCTCTTAATTGTAATGCTGTTGCTGAGAACAGTGAATGCAAACATGAAGGGGGTAAAGACAATTGTGAAGGAACATTTCAGTTAGTTCTGTAGCCATTCTACACAAAGTAATTTGGTCTTTTGCTGTTTTTTCTCCCAGCAGGTGAATTTTAATGTTTAACTTTTAACATTAAATATTATATTAAGCTAAGAAGTATTTTTAGCCAGTGCTGGCTTTGTAGATAGCATGATACCAAGGTGTTAAGAGATAGTCATACCTTTTAAAAGAAATGATGTCAACAGTTCTGAGAAATCTTTTTCAAACCAATTTCTTTTAGGTTTGTTCTTATTTTTATTTTATGCCTATCAATGTGTTTTCTGCTAAGTCGATAGAATTTCCGTACTCAGTTAAGGCATAAGGCAATTTTATTTGCTGTTAAAGTTTGCATGGGTTTGATCTTCCAATACAAACTCAACTCAGTATTACCTATAGTCTCCATAAAGATTAAGGGTTGTAATGCCAGCCTTGGGCCAGATAAATGGGATTTAGGCTGGCTGCCTGGCTGGCTGGCTGACTGACTTCAGACTTTAGTCTGTAATGCAAAATAACTTGAATGTGCATGTGGTACAAAGACAGGAAGCGATACTGCAGAAAGATAGCATGACTCACAGACAGTTGTGCAGCAAGTATGTGTAAGAATACAAATACACTCCCTTTATATATATATAAATATATATAAATATATTATATATATATATTTAAACAATCATCTGCAGTCAGGTTTTTCATTTTTAGGGAGCACACTTCAGCACCTGAAGGCTCTAGGCAGGGTTTGGGAGCAGCCATGTCAAAGTCTTTCAGGGTTTGTCTTTATGGTAGCAGCAACTTGTTCATCCACCACAGAACCTGCAGGGCAGCAGGGATGAGCCTGACCTCTGCAGTGACACCCCTCGTGAAGTTCTGATGGGATGTGTCCAGCTAGTGCAATGTCTTGGCACCTCCACTGGAGATCATTTCATATCATGGAGAGATGAAAACAGTCATGTTTTAAATAACCAAGATGTTGCTGTACTGTATTAATACAGGCATTTCTTAAGGTGAAAAAAAAATTGTTTGGCAACAACTGTTAATTGTGGTGCTTTTTGGGTTGCTGTTTCTTTTTTTTAAAGAAATCATAAGGGCTTGAGTTTGCAAACTGTAGCACAGCTGGTATGCTGGTATCACACTTGACAAATCAGTTGGCCTTTTCATTTCCTTCTTTTCTGTTTAAACATTTAGATGCACTTTCTCTCCCTGTAACTGGAGTTGTAGCAGTGTCTGTTAACCAAAAGCTGACAGGCCAGAAGAGGACATTGCTTGAAAGGCAGGTGGTTCAGGTTGTACAGTACAACTGTGGAGAACCTGTGAAGTTAAAACGTTAAGCCCATGAAGGTGATGTGCAGTGGGGTGGAAATTTAAGAGTAATCACAGCCTGGATGAAATTTTGGGTTTCTGTTGCATACACATGTGCTTAATTAGTCTGCATTCTTACTGCCGAACAGGTAAATTGCTACTTTTGACTTACAAGTGCATCCTAAGCTGTTTTGTTAATTTGGATTTACAGTATCTTTGCAGTATCTAGTTTATGCTGAAGTTTGATCTCCATGAATGAAAACCGGGCTAGGACATCTTTAGTAGTTATGTGCTGCTTGATTTTATACATGTGCTTTTAGTGTAAGTGTATTTGTGAGTATTTGTGTGGTCAGATTTTGATCTTTTTGGATAAGGTGTGATAGTTATGGGTGCAAAAAACAGCCCTAAAAATGAATTTATATACTCAGGTTGTTGAAAAATTAATTCATATTGAGAAACATGGCAGCTGAAACAGGATAAAGTGGTAGTTCATAGAATTCAGATGAAACCAGATTATGACTAAAACCGAAGTTGATACAAATAGTTGGTGTTTAGAGGGAATTGGGTGTCTCCTTCATTCTGACACCTTGTTCGATACCTGCTGGTTTGCTGATTTTTGTTATTTGTTTCCTCCCCCCCCCCCCCCCGGCAGTTTATATATGCTAGGTTATATTGATGGGATAAGTGATACATGGTATGGAAATAACCATATAATTGGTTTGGGACGTAATTAATCAGAGGGTTTGGCATTGAGAGGTTAAACATTCATCTTTTTCAGGAATGGCAGCAGATGAAATTCAAAAAGTACATCATATTCTTATTTAATACTGTAAGAAGGTTTCCCCTTAAATTCTGCCTTTGACGTACTGTGTTTTTTGAGAGGGTAAACCTTAGTATCTGGGGTTTTCTGTAATCTTTTCCTACGCATTCTTCCTTATGATGATGGAGACATTTGTTAACCAATGACCAATACATAATTCTGTTTTCTGGGGGGTTTAGGTGTCCTTAATAGGTGGAGACTGTCTGAGTTTGTTCCTGTCGTGAATGATCTTGAGAGCAAATCTACTCAGCCATGTCGTACGGTGCGGGTTTTGGGGATCCTAATCAACTAGCCCAACGCATAACTTCTAACATCCAGAAGATCACACAATGCTGTAAGTTGCATTTTATGCATGTTTTATATGAAAGTTAATAATGGTGGTGTGCCCTGTTCAAGGTTAGTTTCTAAGATTCATTCATGGAATTCACTCTTTGACCTCACTTGCTCATTTGATACTTTTGTGTCACCCCATGCAGCAGGTCCAGTCTTTTGTCTGTATGGTTAAGTGTGATCTATCCTAGTGAAGTATAAGATCTCTCTGTATTTACTAAATGAATAAATAAGTAGTAAGATGGCTGCTGGTAATAAGCCAGTCTTGTTCTGGCCAGTTAAGTGGCACCTTAAGATGGTAGGTTAAGATGTTTGCTGAGCAAGGATTGCATCAAATATTTGCTGTAGGTTCAACTGTTTAGCAGGAATAGAAACTGTGACCTTGCAGCTTACCCTTGGAAGTACATATTAGATATGTAAATAAGATTGTGTAAATTTTAATACTTTATAGGGGTTCTCAAGTTAGAGTTAAATTAGGCTGCTAGGGTTTTCAGTCCTTTTTCTTTTCCTTCCATTTTCCGTTATGTTTTTCTTATGTGTGTATAAAAGACAAACCTACAAGCTTAGGGGACCTATAGTTCTCATCAGCTGCTGAGCAGGTGTCTCTTAGACTGCAATTTATGATCTTGATTAGGAAGGAATAGGGAAAGAAACAGGAGTCTTGACCCAAAGTCCATGTTTTTCTTTTTAAGCATTTGATTTGATTTTGCACTTCTGTCCAGAAATGCTTAGGATCTGTGAGATGCCTCAACACATTTGAAATTTTCTTGGTCAGTCTGGCATTGTGTAGATACACTTGTTTTCAGAGTGAGATGAATAGAGTGAGAAAGTTTCATTTCAAATCACCAAACCATTTCAGGGAGGGCCTCAAATCTGATTCACACTTCTAAATGCAAGAAAACTGTGAATACCACCACTACAGAGATACAGGTGAAATACAGATTAGTTGAAAGCTGGCTTTTCCAGCTAGAAGCTGGCCCTTTAACTTTTGGGAGAAATAAAGAACAACTTCTTATATTGGACAACACTGTGCTGCTGAGGTTTTTCATAATACACCAGAGTTTTATAGGAAGTAGCACTGGTCGGAACAACAATCTTTACCGTAGCATTTCTTCAAGGTTGAATTAATACACATACACCCTCCAAGTAATACATTTGATCTGGGTTTTTTTTTCTGATTCTGTTTTTAATAAGCCAGACACATAGAAGATTAAATGTATGTATTAAATATCTCACATTTAATACTGTGACACCGCTGTTGTATTAATACTTTTATTTCCTAGTTTATGTACCCACTGTAACTGCTTGACAAGCAAATCTCATCTCTGTGCTGGTTTAGCACTCCATTTCCAGAATTAAATCAGTTGCAAGATAGTGTTTTTGTTTTGGGTGGTTCTGTGTTAATGGACTGGACCTATATATGTGTATCTTGTAGCAGCTGGGGTAGCTTAGCACTTTGAACTTTCTTGAGCAGATTTTTTTGGTATGTTTGTTGATCCAATCATGCAGTTGATTATTACGTTGAAGATATGTTAAGAGTTGTAAATTGCTTCTGCCTTGCCTGAAGTGCTGGTGGACTATAACAGTGCTAGCTGTAGTGGGCTGTTAAGAATTTCTTTGGAGGAGAAGCTGTTGGTGGGGCATTCTTAGGACTTTGACAATATAACTGCTAGCTAATGGGAAGCAGCATACACTACTGTCTGTACTTTGAGTTCTGTTGGAAATTTAAGCCAGGAGGGCACCTGTGTATGTTTGGCATCCCAAACACCAGAGCATTCTATGAAAAGAAGGTTCTTTCAGCTGTTCTTTAAACAGGCATCAGTGATCTCCCTTGGGTTTTCAGCATTTCTTCGCAAGTAAGTGCTTATAACATCACTTAGCAACATCTAGGGAATGGAGTCTACTTTCCTCAGCCTGAAACTCATGTTTTATCAGCAACAGCTCTGCGCTGAGATTTAGGGAACTAGCCTGTGGACCATTTTTCCATGACTTTTGTTGAAAGTGTTCCACTGAGCACCTGAAATTGCAAAACTTAAGGCAATTCTTAACATCCAGTGTAGAGCAGCAGGCCTCAGGAAGGAGAAGGACAGTTAGACTCCCAGACTCACTGCTAGCATTTTTAGAGAATCCATGTGACTGTCTTTGAGCAGTGTTGTAAAACCTGGAGAGCCTGAATCCCATGTGCTTGAATGAGTTGCAGTGTTGTGTGCTGAAGCTTGGTGAGGTCAGTGTTGCCTGCAAGCCATGTCTCACTGATTTGGTTTCGGGTCTGGGTTAACAGTGATGAGAAGCAGATCTGCAAACAGCTAGGGAAACTTCAGATTTAAATAATAAAACCAAAGAAGTGTATAATGAGCTTTGGCACCTCTTAGACTTAGGCAGCTGCTAAATTTCTGTCTTACTAGGACAAAACTTATGATTAAGGTTTGAAAGTCTGTATGAAATCTGATCCAAAGTAAGTTTAATTCTCATTCCAGGCTTATCTTTTATCTGATTATAAAACAAGATCACACGCATAGTGTTGCACTTTTGAAATACGAATTTAAAGATGGCTGAGGTTTGTCCCTAACTTTCTGAATATGAAGGACAGAAATATAGAGAATGATGCAGGGTGGAGCACTTCAACCTGCGTGGGCTTTCAGATGGAGAACTTATTATGAAGGTGTTTTAATCAATATTTACTGAAGGAGCAGTAGTTCCAGAACTGGGTTTCATATGTTGCGCTTTCACTTATGTGGCAGCTTAATGGCAGTTGCAGTTAACTTGAGAGAAGTCTCAAAGCCTTGCTTCAGTATTTCCTTGAAATATTGCCTGTTGGTCACTTGTTTACAGGAACTGAATAGACAGGGAATGAGTATGATGCACAGAAACAAGATTAGCTAGCAATATATATAAAAATAATTTTTAATATTTTTAATTTAGCAAAACAAATCCTGCCTGCTTACAAACCTGTATTTCTACCAGGCATGTTAGTCATACTAGGGATATGTCTAGTAGGATAAGAGTATGAGTCCATTTCTTTTTCCTATGGTGTTTTCCTCCTCCTCTTCTTGAAGCACATGTAACAAATTGTACAATAGGATATCTGATCTTTCAACAAATGGAAAAGATGAAAGTAGAATAAGTAAAGCAAACAAAAAGCCCAATTGAAAAGCTTTAAAATGCTAATTTCAGACTTCTTACAACTATGAAGATGAAGGGGAGCAGTTCTTTGAAATCTGACAGTTTTCTGTATTTTGTAGAATAGATTCTCTGTGTGAAGCAAAACAAGGGAAAGCATTTTGTTTAAAAAGATGTTCTGAAAAGGCAGCAAAATGGTAATTGCATTCATCTGCAGGGACAACTCCACAGTTGTAAGATATGGTTAGAGGAGTAGGGGCTTCCTGCTTAGCTGGAAAGATTTAATTTGTGCCTCTGACAGAAAGTGCAAGAAGAAGTAACCAGCCGTAGTTTTTCCTCCCGCCACATATTACTTCTCTAGTCTTTCTCCCATGCATGGGTCATTGAGGAAGCAGACTTCTATACCTTCATTTTGCTTTGCTCATATTTCTTTGTAGCTACTGCATATATCATTCAGCGCAGTCCCTGAAGAAAGTAAGAACACTACAACCTTGATAGGTGACTAAGGTAACTATCATACCTCCACTGACATCTTAAGCCAAGCTTTGGGAGCTTTGGTTTAGAAACAATTTAGAATGCTGTTTTTCACTTGGAAACACAGAACAAAGTCTGACTTGGATAAAGTACACCCAGTTTTTACGTTTTAGAGATTTCTGCTTTTCTAATTGTACTCAGAGTTACAGAAACTATGCTAACTGAAGTGAGGCATCCATATTCCCTTCCTAACTCTTCCTTCCCGGCTCCTCCAGTTTATAAAGGTTGTGGCAGGATTTTGTGCAGTGATAGTAGTGAAGTCAGTAAGGATGGCATAATCTACCCTTGCTCACTATTGGCAAGGTCAGTGATAGATTTGTCTTGTTCAAGCACACTGAAAATCAGCCCAGATGGAGAAACATATGCTTTGCATACTGCAAGATTAAATAAATAACTATATATAACTCAGTAGCCACAGTCCACATATGACTTTGGGGAATCTGCCTGGCTTTGAAAGATTCTTTCTCCTAAGGACTCATGCTTTCTGCTTTCTGTTCACTGAGGTAGCACAAACACCGATTAATATAGAGCACATTCCCAGAAGGTCAGCTTCAACCAGCAGAGATCACTGTGCCATGTAACAGTGAGTTAGTCCAATTTCTGTTGCATCCCAAGTTTTCTATAAGCCAGTCTTTTCACTGGATGTTGTTAAAATGGGAGTTGAATTACATTAATTGTACAACTTTCCCTTTCATTTTATGCAACTGTAGAAAATTGTAAGCATAGAGGAAGCTCTAAAGAGTATTAGAGTTCTGACATGTGCTTTTTTATTGTGGTTTAAGCCTGATAGGTAGCTAAAACATTAAGCTACAACAGGCTGAAACATTGATGAAAAACTGTGTCTGCCACTGTGTTTGTAACACCAACAGATTCACACGATAATTCTTGAACTAGAGAAGGATACAAATGGGAGAGTGAAAAGTAAATTGAATCACTGAGGTGTTGAAATCTGAACCCGTATGAAAGCAAAATTCTGTTTTGTCTATATTTAAAGCGTGGTTTTGTACAAGTGTGGTTTTAAAGCAAATAGGCTTAAAGTAGAGTTTGAGACTTTTAATGATGATATTGCCAGCTGCAGTTAACTAGAATTTAACTGTGGGAACACACTGGTTGGAACAAATCTTTTGTTATTATTGTAGCTGTTGTCAGGAGGGTTTCTTGGATTTAGGATACAACTTCAGTAAGACCTGGAAAAGGCTGGTTAATTAGGTGTTTTAAGCACCTGCTTATGGTCCTCCATATTCCATTTTCTAGGTTTTTAAGGCTGAAGAATTCAACTTGAATCTGCTACATGCACAAGTCATAATTTATATATGGAGTATAATAGGAGGAGAAATACAGGTATTTCAG